GAATGCACTTGAAATCAGATCCTATTCCAGTTGAACTGTACATTCAGCTGACATCTTGATTATATACTGTGAGAGATCTTGAGCTGGAGACTTTAGCTAAGCCATGCCTAGATTTCTAAGTCACAAAATTATGAGACAGTAGGTATTATTTGTTGAAATCAATACATTTTTGGGGTCATTTGTTACATAGCAATAGATAACCAATACTATAGATGCTGTATACTGAGAAGCATTATCAATAGAGTTTTGCTGTACATATGGCTGGTGAAGGAGGAAATGAACTCTGACATACTCACCTTCCTCATCTAATAAGCAGCAGCTAATAAAAGCTGAGATTGTCACTCATGTCACTCTAAGTCCAAGGCATCACCTTCTATTATCTGTTGTGGAGGGCATGTGCATTTTAATAGAGGCCTTTAATGGGGGATAAATGGAGCAAGACTGTTGTTTTGATGCCCATGTACAAATGAAAACAGATAAAAATTTCATATATGAAGACAGATTGGTAGGGAAGAGTTTAGGAACCATGGATCATAGAGGCCTTCTTAAATATTATCAGGTAAGTTCATCCTGCTCCACTAAAGCAAAGGTCACAATTGTTCTGCAAAGACTCATACAGAAAATATTTTAGGCATTGCAGGCCACATGTAGTCTGTTGCATATTCTATTTTTAATAAACCTTTGAAAATATAAAAGCATTCTTAGTTCAGAGACCTTATAAAAATAGGTTATGAATCACATTTGTCCCAAGCTATAGACTGCCACCCCTGACTAAGGTCAAGATAGTACTCAAAGACCATGGGTCAATCCAGGTATGGTTCTCTATGGGATTCCAAGAGAGAATTAAGCCTTAATGTCCTAAGGCACCCATTGTATGTAATGAATTAACTTTTCACCTATGGGTCTTGAGTGGTATTTGCTATGTAGATACTTGGTAGAATTAAGTAAATAAGCACTCAAAATATTTTTGTGTTCTGTGGTTCAGATGACAAGCCCTGGTTGAGAAAGCTAGTGGTACACATACACTGTTCATTCAACAGTCATTAAATAGGCACTAACCATGTACTCAGTGTTGTATTATGTTATGTGACAGCAGAGATAAATGAAATGTGGACTTTTATTTACCCCAAAAACATCACACTGAATGAACTATAAGAAATTATGAAAATGAATTTATTTCTGAAGACTTGCTCAAGTGGAAACAATGTAATGATCATAATAACAATTTATTTTTTCACTAATGTGATATCCTTGCTATGGAATCAGAGCATTCCTTTTTTCTTCCACAGGGCTGTGATCTGCTATTCAGACCTATTGATACTTGTCTGAGAACTAGTAAGACCTCCTACCAATATATGTTCACAGATGGGTTAGAATCAGTCCTTGCCTACCACTGACCATGTGACTTGGGGAAATGACTTAATTCTTTTGAGACACCATTTCACCATAAAATGGAAAAAAATAATAATTTATTGAATGACTATTGTGCAATTAAATGAGACAAATGTAAAGCTTACAGGGGTAATGCCCAATTAGTAGCAAAAGCAATTATTATTTTTAGCTAGCTCCCATGACATCAGGGGCATCAGACACATGATCTTAATTTGTTCTTTAAGTCAGATCCATATGTCACACCCATTTATTCTCTATGAGATGTATAAATACAAAGGAACATCTGAAGTTTTATTATGATTGCATTGGCCTCCTCAGAAATTTGGGCCCAGCTATGGAGAATAAAAAATACCTATTTGAAATCTCCAAATCTTGAAAATGTTCCATTTTAGAGGGGTAGTTTTATTTCTTCTCAATGTAATAAATTGGCTGCAGTAAGTTGGAGAGGGAGTAGATGATGCATTATTTAATCAAATTTCTGATTCTAACTTATTTTTTCCACTCCTTTTGAGAGCTTTTATTTTTTGTGTAGAAAAATGTCTCTCACTCTCCTGGTTTCTGAAGTAAGAATAAGAGAACCAACCCTTAGTGAACTCTTGCTTTGCACCAGGTTCCTCACACTAATCCTCACACAGCCCTATGAGACAAGAACCACTTTATCATTCACAATATATATATTTTCATGGAAACTTGAAGCACAGACTGCCTACATTACTTTTCCAATGTTGCACGTCTGGTGCATCAGTAGTCTGGTTTAAATCCAGGCAGTTTACTTCAAAGCCCACCTCTTAATTCCACTGCTCTATTACAGTGCTGTAAAGTAGAAAGATTTTGTCAGTCACATTGCAATTTAAAAATTTTTGGTAGTCACATTTTAAAAAGGAAAAAGAAACAGGTGCAATTAATTTTAATCACATACTGTATTTTATTTAACCAATTATGTCTAAAACATTACCATTTCAACATGTAATCAATATAAACATTTGAATGAGATATTTGAATATACTTTTTAATACTTCATATTTGAAATCCAGTGTGTATTTACACTTAATTAGGACTAGTCCCCTTTAAAGTGGACTAGCCACCACACATGGGTGGTGGCTTCCACATTGGAGAGCACAACTCTGCTATGTGATCCGCTGAAGTTACTGGACTTTCTATTTATATCTCTATGTTTATATAATCTTTATTCTTTTTGTTTGGCATCTTCAAAACTGTAGAGATCTTGAGTACTAAAACTGAAAGTGAGTTGTTTTTTGTTTTAAAAAGAAAAAAATCAGTAGTAATATTGTCATTGTTTGGGGATTTCTAATAATTCTTAGGAAAGCTGATGTTCTTCAATGCTTTCTGTCAGATTTCTGAAATATTTTGAGTTTAACTGCATGTCCATTTAAGAACATAAGGTTCATTTACCATATTTCCCCCTTGGCCAAGCAGAAAGCTAAAAATAAACTCCTAAGTTGTTAGGTTTGACCTAACTCTTTATATAAATATCCGTTTGCAGTTATTTTAACAAAAGAAAAATCCAATCCTTTAAGTGTGTTGGTTCTAAAAACTTTGGAAAACTGATTTCTCCCCTAAACACTTCCTACCTCTAACCACAGACAAACTGAAAAAAGGAAAAAGGAAGTCAAAATTATATTTTATTTTTTCCCCCACAAGAAGACAAAAAAGACACCCCCCCCCACCCCATAACAATCTTTCTCCATTTCCCTTTCCAGAACCACATTTTAAATGATGATTAGCATATGAAAACTTGGCCCATTAATATAAATCTTAACTCTGTAAACTCTGTAGAGTTTTGGTTTCAGGAGTAACATCTCATCTAATAAGTTTGGAAGTTCCCTGAGGGAAATTACCAGGTCAAATAAACCCTTATTTGTGTCTCAGATAATGTTTCCCCAATACTTGACACACTGTGGACAACAATTTATTTTAATTAATTGGAGGAAAGCCAAGAAAATTTATATAGACTATTATAAAAAAAAGTGTTTAAATATTTCCAAATATATTAATGGAAACACTTAGGAGATATATTTTAATTAGAAAGGAATGACCTGGGAGAAAGTAGTAACATAAAGATGTGGTAGAAACTACTGGAACTTAAAAGGACGATTAACTTCTAAAAGTTCCCCTTTGAAACTGTCCTTAGATGAAAATTTTGTGTAAAATATAAAAAATAAATATAAAAGTAGAAGAATATACAGAAGAATGTTGGCAAAATTTTGGTCAAGGGAAAGACCTTAAGTAGAGGTTGGAAACGTAGAAAGAAAACAGTTATATTTAACCTATCTTTCTCTATTTATATAGAATACATATGTGTGTGCATGTATATATGTACATAGATCTATTTAATATATATCTTATAAAAAACAATAAATTTGGAAAAATATATGCAGTTAGATACCATCAGAAGACAGATAACAAGTTATTATTTCTTATATACAAACTAGAGGCCCAATACACGAAATTCATGCAAGAGTAGGCCTTCCTTCCCCCGGCTGCCGGCACTGCTTCCCTCTGGCACCCAGGACCCAGGATTCCCTCTGGCCGCAGGCAGGCACCGGGAACCCAGGCTTCCCTCGCAGCCCTAACTTCATCCAGAAGGTTGTCCAGAAGGATGTCTGGAAGGACGTCTGGTCTAATTAGCATATTATGCTTTTATTATTATAGATGGCTACTAAAAAAAACACACCAAGTCATAAATAAAAAAAAATTCCCTCACTAGTGAATCGGGGAAATGTAAAGTATACAAAAATTAGATGAGAATTTTCACCCATTACGTAAGCACACACACAAAAATGTAAGGTCATTCAATGATACTAAGGTAAGCCTTCTACATAGGTGCGGGAGTCTGAATTGCTTGAGCAAATATAGCAGACTTCAGAGAGATTTCTATTAAGTAATCCCTACTAAAAATGTTACTACTAGCTGTCTTTGCTCAAAACATTTTAGCAGAGTATCTATCAGAAATGTGTGAAGTAAAATCATATTCACTATTAAAGTTATATGTCCTTATATATCTCTAAATTTAAAGTGATATTAACCAGCTCAATAATTTGCCTTATGCAAATAAGCTTAACTTCAAATGACATTTGGTGGCTTCAAATCAGATTCTTCCTTTTAGGACATCGATTTGTCACCGTTCAAGAGAACATGATGCTGACTTTGAAGATAATAAAAGAGGAATATCTGAAAATATTTGGGCAATGATAACAACAGTCAAATTGGCACTAATTTTGACAAACATGCAAAATTTATGAACCCAAATAAATATTGTTTCAGTTAGAGTAGCCACCTTTACAGGCTGTGGACTAATTTGATTGTTTGACTAATGGTAGATGGGTTGTAGTGTGGTGTGTTGAAGACTATGAAACTTACAATGCTTAATTAAAAATCTTTATTCTTTGAGTATAAAAAAATTAGTGTAGCCCAACCTAACTAAAGCAGACTTAAGACAGAATAATGAGAAGTAGTGGGAGCAATCTAGGAGCGGGTCAAGTTCTTGTGGTGAAGCCTCAGAAGTCCTAATAGTTCTCTGCTGTTTGAATTTCCACTCTCCTGGCCGAGTTCCAAAGCTCTGGTGCCTGTGTTTCTTTTTTCATTTATTTCTATGCTTACTCACATTTTCAGCCCAGCAGCTAAATTATCTTATTAGGTTGCGTTTTTTTTTTTTACCTGATCTCCAACAGAAGGCTTTAGACAAAAATTCTCTCTAATTTATCTGCACGTTTGCTCTCTTCTTGAGAGTGCTTAATGACAGTTCCTAAGGCAAATGTTTTCCAATAAAGATTAAAATGAATATTTTCCCAGCTTTTTGCTTGGGGCTGCTGTATTGCACAACTCCAGGGAAAAGTCCACCTTTCTCATTTTGAATGACCCTGCATCACACCACTCACATGCAGAAACCACAAATGACACTCCATGGGCCCATGGATACAGCAGCCTTGTCTTATGTCTCCCTTATTTGGTGTGCTTCATGTCTAAATGTTTAAAGTTTCTGATCTGAAAGAGAGCTTATGCATAGCAGTTATTATACAGTTCTAAATACTCTAAATACTTTGTCCATACTACTTTAAAAGAATTATTATGTCCAATGATATTATTTTAAATTAATCATAATTGATATTTTACACAGGAGTATGTCATTATAAAGGTGCAACTTATTTTTCTTGGGCAAATGTTGAAACACAGATGTCAATTCCAGAGTCTGTTGACTTCTTTATCGGTTGTTTCCAATGAAAACACGCATGGTCTTTGGAAGGATTGTTGTCTACATAAATGAAGCCTTTTGATCCACTACTTCCATGCCAGAGACAGTGTTCAAAGTACTCATTGTCATTCCCTAGAGTCCCCAGCTTTCCTTGCAATTCAGTTTGCCTAGATGACCACCTCTTCCCTGTGGCAGTGGCCTGGGAGGCGCAGAGGTTCAGAGGGTGCCGCTCCAAGAATGAGGAAGCTTCCTGAGGGCATCATTCTGGGATGTGAAGAGAAGGTCACACTTAGGAGATTTGCGGGTCAATTTGCGGTCATTGTGATGTAGCACAACCTAACTAAAACAATACATGTAGTATTTTTAGGGACCATTTTAAAACAGGTATAAGAAGTATAATGTAGGTAAGCAACTTCAAAGACCATGTCTTGGCACTCTATTAACAAGCTAATTACAGACCAATGATAATCTAGTTACCCTAATATAGGGTTATTATTAGGTAATAACAAAGCAGTTAGATATTAGTGTTTTCCCCCATAAATTTCCTACCTACCTTAAGGTCTCTTCCTTGGCCAAAATTGTGGAAATATTCTTCTATATATTCTCCTGTTTTTATTTTTAAGTTTAGTTTTTACATTTGTTCAGATTAAAATTTCACTTAAAGCATTCAATGCATCTTACACAAGGTAGCATCTTAGATGAGATAAAATATTTTTTTATCATTTGGAATCATTTTTTAGTTCTTCAAGCACCTTCATGTTATTATTAGGTAAATAGATTATCATTGGTCTGTAATTACACTTGTTAATAGAGTGCCAAGCCATGGTCCTTTGAAGTTGTTGCACCTACTTTAAATCTACTTCTTGTACCTGTTCTGAACATTCTGTTCTGACTAACTCATTCTTTTGAATTCTGACCCCATTGCATGTTCTTCCAGTTTCACCCCCACCTTTTGCATGGGGTTTTGCCCTCAGCCTTGCTTTTCAAGCTATACTTTTTGGATCTCTAGACCACAGATCTCAAAATGTGATCCATGGAAGATTCAGCTTCATCCCCTTTCTCCATAGCTTCCTCAGGTCTCCAGACTCCAGCCTTGGACCCAGGGGCCTTTCGCTCAGTGAAGCCTTTCATTGCTGAGTTTCCTGTTGTGTTTATTTGGATTCCTTAGTCATTCAACACCAAAAGCTCAGGGCAGTTGGGGAGAAGGGTCAATACTCAGGTGGTAGCAGCATTACTGTGCACAAGCCATCGTCATACCTTCTTTTCCAAAGTGAAGATTTATAATCAAACATCATAATACATTGTGAAAATTCTAGGAATACTTGGATCATTAAGCAATTTCCAAAGTTATTAGGCTTTTTATGGGTCCTGAATTCACAAGTGAACAGAGTTTGAAAAATTCTTGTTTGTAAGTTTATTATTAACAGGTAGCTAACTTTTAACATACCACACATAGTTTTACAGACTTGGTTAGAGTGCCTGGAAGTTACTAGCCGATACTCTGAGATCCTGTAGAAAATTATTACTTCATAGAGACAATTCTTTTTCCAGAGAGCCAGAATTGATGATATTCTAATAATTTCTCATTTTGAAGATACCATGGTAGTATTTTTTTCCTTAGTGAAGATAAACTCAAGTTGGACAAAAAAAAATCTTAAATGTTCAGCAATAAAATAATAGTTATATAAATTATTTTTAATCTGTGTAATGTAATCTTATGCAACTATTAAAATAAAAACTAGAAAGACATGTTGATACATGGAAGATTAGCCTGAAATGATGATAAGAGCAGAGCACAGTGTTATCTTTAAGGTTAAATCTCAGCCACAGCTCTGAGTATGGCCTTTAGCTGTGTTGCTGTTTGGAATTCAGGATATTCAATAAACATTCTTCATATTTTGGATGGACTGAGAAGGAAGGGGTGCTGCTGGGGATTCTATTTCCATGGGAACTTGAATAGCTTTTCCAGAGAGGCAATGGTTGAACATAGGGGTCCATGGTTGGTTCCAATCACTGAGACTTGCAGTAAATATGGAGAAAGTGGGATGAAGAGGGTACAGGGGTTGCATGTTGCCAGTGAAAAGTTTAGCAGATAGACATGAGAGAGTATCATGATAGAGATACTGACAAAACTTAGGGAAGCGGGTGAGAGTGGGTGGGCAGGGGCAGTGGATGAGTATAGGATTTTTGTTTTCAATTTTGAGTACACTATTTAACAACTATCACTTGGTATTTTCTTCAAGCATGACCTCTTTTATAGGCATTCCCCCCCATTTCCAAGGACTTGTGCCAAGTTTGGAGTAAAGCTGAAAACTAAAAGGAAATCAAAGAATGAGTTGAACAGTGTGTGTGTGTGTGTGTGTGTGTGTGTGTGTGTGTGTGCGCGCGCGCACACACATAGGGCTGTAATATACAGAAGGTAAAAACTCTCTGTTCTGTGTTCTAAAAAGAAGTTTTAATAATGTCAAGAGGAGGACCATTTTTCCTATTCAAAGCAGTAGTGGTTAGTATAGAAGTGAGGCCAGAATCACACCTAGCACAGGGACATAAGCTATGGCCAGAAGAGAATGGAATTGGACAGCAGAGGAGAGGATAATGGAGGAAGCTTGTGGCTCCTGAATTAAATGGGAGAAAACTCATCTCTCCAGAACATCTTTAGTGTGTATATTCCCTACACATGATCTTGGGAAACATGAGTTATATAACTATATAAACATGTCATAGAAGAAGACGTTGAATAGGACTTTTCTCAAAGTCCTAGAAACAGTGAGAATACTTTGAAATTAGAGACTGTCTTTTACAGTCATTAAAAACTTGGGGCTGAAACCGGTTTGGCTCAGTGGATAGAGCGTCGGCCTGTGGACTGAAAGGTCCCAGGTTCGATTCCAGTCAAGGGCATGTACCTTGGTTGCGGGCACACCCCCAGTGGGAGATGTGCAGGAGGCAGCTGATCGATGTTTCTCTCTCATCGATGTTTCTAACTCTCTATCTCTCTCCCTTCCTCTCTGTAAAAAATCAATACAATATATTTTAAAAAAACCACAAAACTTGGGATGTAGAGCAAGATGGACTGGGTTTGATTCCTGGTTGCCCACTTCCTGGTATTTAATCTTCAATAGATTCCATAAACTCTGTGCTTTTGTTTCTCCATCTGTAAAATGTGGTTGCTGTGAGGATTAAATGAGCTAATACATATAAAGTGACAAGAACAGTTTTGTGCACATAGAGGTTAGCTATGAGGATGGTGAAACAAAAATGATTAGGGCTCCAAGCTGAGGAAAGGAATTGAACCCTTGACCCTTCAGCGCTCAGGTGAAGCTCTAACCATTTAGTCACACTGGCCAGGGCTGATATGTGTTCTTTACAGTTAGGGGTCAAATGTGAACAAGACTAGTGCTTAATTATCACCTGATGATTTCATCAGGCAGAGACCTCACCAGAGTAGCTGATCACGACGTGTGTGGCAACCCTGGTTTTAGATAACATGGGAAGAAAATGGGGACAGGTTCCCAATCCATCAGGGGTCTCGTCCAAGTACCTCAGGGGTTCCCGTGGCTCAATAAGAAGGTACATAAACATTTGAGAAAGAGGCAGAAGATGAGTTTTTTGGCATCTGCTGGCCAGGCGAAGAATGCTCCCTCTCAGAGAAAGGTTTGGATCCCTGGTGTAGGCAATAAGGAGATGGGCTTGACCCTCTATGAAGGGTTCTTCAGTAAAGGAGGAGGGCCAGGTGAAGGTGAAAATTGCCCCTAAAAAGTCATGTCAATATCTATTCAGTGGCTGTCATATTGGTTGAAGCTCCTAGGACTAGACTTTAGGGTTACCTTCTCCCATTGACAGGCAACCAACTATGTCAGAACCCTGCCACTTTTTCTATTTCTTCTTCCCACATGACACTTACAGGAAAAGGGGTGGGACAGGTAAGAGAGCAGACTGTACCTCTTAGCGATTACAGGTCCCACAGGCCAAAGAATAAGCCTGATCAGCGGGGAAGGGAAAATATGAGAGCAGAATATACAATGAGAATTGAATGATGCTCTTCTAATATCTGAAGGGGACCAGAAAGCTATGGGATCTCCAGAGATAACAAGGGATCATACAAGAAAATTCCAACGTTTTGGTTAAATACAGTGATAAGAAAATAAAACAAAACAAGAGAAACAAAGACCCCAACAGGTCACACATGTCCAATGTTGGTTTCCTACATTTACAGGTGTAAAAGCTGGAAGTGGGCTAGAAGACACTGCCTTCCCTCTCGACTTATATGAGGCTCATCAATTGACTCACACCTGCCAGTAAGTGTCTATCATGGGGAAGAAGTCATTGTTAAGCTTTGTAATATTTCAGGGCTGAGGGGTCTTGCTCTGGGGCAAGAAGGGGAGGGAGGAGGAGAGGAAAGAAGGAGCTGTTTTTCTCCCTCCAGGTGGCATTAAGAGTCTTGGGGCTGCTGATTGGAGAAAGGCCCTTTGGGGCAGCAGAGTCCCCGGAGAATTTTAGGAATTTAAATATTTAGGAGAGATGTTTTAGGAACCATGAACTCCTGCAGGAGCAGGTGAGGCATTAGAGCTAATAAAAATCAGTCTAATGGTTTTGATGTTGTCATTTGTACCTACAAAGTGGGAGACCTGAAGACATGTGGGTTTCAAAGGTAAATAATTAAGAGAAATATTTATTTATTCATTTTTTATTCAAAAATATGTATTGAATATATACTCTGTGTCACACACTATACTCGATTCTGAGCATACAATGGAGAGTAAAATATCTAAGCTCTGCTCAGAAAATTTGTAAAAATAAACACAGGAGCTTTAAATGGGCACCTGAGCTTGTTTGATAGAAGAGGATGGATGGTTCAGGGAAGTGACACAAGTGCCTTGTGCTAGGATAATGGAAAACAGTGTTTTTCATGTTTAGGAATTCCTTTAATGTTGTTTTAATACTCCTTTTACAATAAATAATAATCATAAAATGAAAGAGATGAAAATCTTGGCACTGTGAAGCAAATGGATAACTGCTTTCCTGTTTCTCCTTGGAGTCCAAGTAAATTAAAAATCATTTAACTCTCTGATGAAAGGTCTTTGTCACCTCATTTCTACTTTCACTGTTTAATCCAGAAAACATCTTCCATTTGTTCATTTCCCCTTTCATTCCATTTCATGCTGGGTCCTGCCACATCCTGTTCATTTCCCCTTGGAACAAATTATGTTAAAGATTTCCTCTCGGTCTTTATTGTAATTTTAAAATCCTTAAGTAGTTTCAGAGGTGTAGATCTATTGCCTTTGCTTTTTATATCCTGAAAAGTTAAGAAAAAGAGAGCTGTAGTGGCGGTTAAGAAATGAATCAAGTTGTTTTCTGAGGAACTCAAAAGACAGGAGTGCCTTGAAAGCAAATAAATGAGGAGTCTCTCAGGATTGTCAAATTAAGTCTGAGAACATAGATTTAGATACTCAGGTGGATTGCAGAAGCTGGAAAGGCATTTAAATTGTGTGAATGAGAGTATCCCCAATTCACACCTATTCCTTGCACACACACACACACAGACACACACACACACACACACACACACACACACACACACACACACACCTCTTTTCACAGATTTAAGATGTATGGGTACTAGAAGAGACTGAACATTTCTAACTAGCCTGAGGACAAAGTATACACTAGAAATGTGAAATTATTAATAAATTTAGAACCTTAATAGGAACACTTGGGTTGTCTATTCATTTTAATGTACTACCATGAGCAGTCCACCTTAATGACATATATGCAATTCTCCTAGTTTCATGATATAGATATCAATCTAATCACAGGAATATAAGACAAAAAGAATAAAGTCAAACCATAGTATGCTCATGGACTCACTTGTACGCTTGAATTGAGGAAGCTCTCAAAGACTTGCGTAATCCCAGGCCAACTTCTTCCAGTGCAGGTCGGAGTCCCCAACAGTGGCTGTCACTAGGGAAGTGGAGCTTTTGACCATGATTTCAAAGCATAGGACACAGTGTGGGGTGAAGAAGTGAAAGAAACACAGATAAGGAAAAAGGACTAGCAGGTTCATTCCCTCCATGGTGACTGAATAAAATAAATAAATGCATAATTGTGAGAATGCACTTGCTGATTATAAAACAACTATTTTGCTGTCTATAAATACTTTTTTCTCTGAATTGGCTCTTGGGCTAAATATAAATTTTACTTCACTTCTAAATTTCCATTTAATAAGCTAAATTTAAGTAATGATAGAGAGAAGCAATATATTGTATAGAAAAATTGCTGTGGTTGTATGCAAAGCAGGAAGTCTTTGCTTAGGACACCTACTGCTTTGAAAATCTGATACAACATATTTCTGTAGGGAGAAAACTAATTAAAACATGATAAAATATTGTATAAAAGTCAATAAAAATACAAAATTTGCCTTACTTGGGTGCTTAATTCAGTGTTTAAAATATAGAAATGTTTACATTACTCTTTCCACTTAACATGGCATCAAGGGAATTTTCTTGTCTTAACCTTAACTACCTTTTTAGTATGTATATTTCTTCAAAGCTGGTGTATAGCTGCAAATATTGGCTCAGTTCAGGGACATGGTGTGTAGAAACTTGCCAGGAGTTTTCTGTTAATTAGGTTATTCATTGGTGAAAACTGTTGGGGCCTTGAGAAGGAAGATAAAGATTGACAGATGGAAACCCAAAGTATTGGCAAGGTTATGAGAGGTAAATAGTCCTGCTAACTGACCTTCAGAGACCTAACTACCCTATTTGCAAAGCTGTGGGGGCTGCCAGGTAGAATTTACAGATCCAGAAGCAGAGGGTCTTCTCCTAAAGATGGTGGAGGGTGGAACCGAGCTAAGCTTGCCAAGTTTATTATTGACTTCCCAACCCCATAAACTAGTCTACCTCCCTGGGTAAAAGGGAATAAAGGAAAGAGGGCAGGAGGGTTTAAGGAAGATCTCTCTCCATTGAAACCTGAACAGTTGAGAAAATATGTTTCTCTCTAGTAGAAATGACTCTTTACTCTCTTGAGGTTTTTTCATTCGGCACTCTTGGTGGCTGTAGCACATGGTTCGAAGTGGCTTTGAAGGATTAGCGTCAAAAATTTAAATCATGTAATGCAATGCAGTTGGTAGCATTGTTCTGTATTGTTTTAAATCCTAATGTTTTCTTTAGTGTCCTACGCCCAGAGCTGTGCTAATATGCTTGGATGTATTAAGCTTATTATAAACTGACAAACTGGTAAGAATGCTGACAAATAAGTCACTGAGATTCTCAGACTTTACTTTAAATGGTCCAGTTCCACAAACAAATCAATGACACTTTGTCTTGCCCTACAGATGGTTGTTCAAACATATCAGTTACATCATTGTTCAAAATTTTACATTCCAGACTTTATTCTAAACACAAGTGAAAGTCATTTTTTGAGGTCTTAGAAGCCTGGGAAATGTGATATTCTTATGACATACAAACATTAAAATTTTTTCAGACATGTCCATTTTTGTCACAACATAAACCCCAAACCGAAAAGCCCCATCCATACATATAGACTGCTAGTTATCTTGTCTACTATAAGGATCAAGTGGGTTATGATTGCCCAAAATTAAAGCTGTTTTTAGTAAGAAAAGCAATCAATGAGAGATCTATAAGTTAAACTGTCTCTATGCCATATGAACACATTGTTTTTACAAAACCTACAAATCTTAGTTTTGAAAATGATATTGAAGAAACAGACATGACTGAAGTAAAAAAATATGGTAGGTGTTGTCTCAATTTCTATTGACCTTTACTAAACAAGTTTTAAAGCAAAAGCAGTGAGGACTGAGCTAGCAGTCTTAGCATTTAATGATTTGGTGGCTGCTGGACAACTTCTTACAGTTTTGAGGGGGAAAATGTTTCTTGGCTTAGATCTGGGAGTATATGCAGGAACTGAGGGCAGCTGACTAGAATTCCAAGGGAAAAGTGTGTATTTATAGTACGCACAATATTCTATGTCAACGTTGACCTGTAGTTGGGGCTGTTTCCCCTTCATTTAGACTTTAGAGAAAGGTGCAAGGGTGCCCTCTGGGGCCCTGGTGAAAAATGTTATTTTAATTCTCTGGGACCTCAAGTCAGAAACCTCACAGGCCAACAGAAAAGTCTTAGCCAGCTGAAACAGGGAGAGCAGCAGCCTAACTGCTCAGGTCAGGCTTGCCAGTAATTGCCAGTCCCACCTCCAACTGCCCACTGGGCTCTTCCTAACAATGTGTGGCATTACCATGCTGGCCGGGCCCAGATCCTAAATCAAAACACCTTACAGCTGCTGTGGTGACAGACAGAGTTGTATTTTAACTCTTTTGGCAATAATAATGATGTTCCTTAGCTAAACCGCACATCACTGTTTCTTAAAATGCCTTCAAGTTAATATCATGTAATTGTTGCTTTAGCCATAAAAACTGCAGAATCTGAGGGTTGGAAGTACATTATAGATTATGTAATTTAACCTAATTGTTCTATCAAAGAGAAAATAAAAGGTTGGGACTAATAGAGCGTACTTTAAAAACCACAAGATTTGAATCTAGAGTCTGGTTTTGAACCTCAGTTGAATTGTTTCTATTACATTGTTTATAATAAATATGTGAATGAGTCAGGACAAGTATTACTTCTCTTTTATAGATAAAGCTATTAAAGATCATGGAGATTAAGTGATTTATCCAAGATCAGATGACTAAGTAGGAACAAAGCTAGAAAGGAACCCAGATCCCTGACTTCCAGTTTTTGCCCACACACACACGTAGGAACACAAACTCAGGAACTGAGACTCAAGTCTGCCACTTACCCGTTAGTCTCCTATTAATCAAACATTCATTGAGTGTCAGGTACTTTCCTGGCCGCAAGGGATATTGTTGAATAGGACAGAGTCTGTGATATACAGGGAGTGGTACCCAGACTCCAAAACGGACCTCCAGTGATTTGCCTCCTGGTGTTCATGTCCTTGTGCAGTCCCTTCTCACACGGAACAGGGGTGACCTGTGTAATCAATAAGATATTGCTGGATGACCATGTGTACCTCTAATCCTAGGTCATGAACACACTGTGGTTTCTTTCTTGCTCTCTCTTTGATCACTTACTCTCGTAGAATTCAGCTACCATACTGTAGGGACACTCACTCCAGCAGCCTTATGGAGAAGTTCATGTACAGGAACTGAAACCTCTGCCTGGTAACGAACAAAAACCTGACAATCTTGTGTGTCAACCGTTTTGAAATCAGATTTTCCAGCCCCAGTCAAGCCTTCGGGTGACACAGTCCAGGCTGATATCTAACTGTATCTTCACGTGAGACCCTGAGTCAGAACAACACAGCAACACCATTCTCAAATTCCTAACTCATAAAAACTGTGTGAGATAATAAACGTTAGTTGTTTTAAGTTGCTAAGTTTTGGGTAATTTATTATGCAGCAACAATAACTAATATAAAGGAAGTGATAAACACAAAAATTAACAAATAGACTAGTTTCAAGTATCCGTGCTGTGAAGAAGATAAAGTAGGATGATAGGACACAGGGATGGTGGGAAAGCTGCTTTGCTGGGTGGGGAGGAAGGGCCTCTCTGAGGAAGTAACACTTGAGTTGAGACATCACTCTTCAGAAAGAGGCAAATGTGGCGAGATCTGGGGCAAAAGAAACCCAGAAAGAAGCAGCAGTCACTGCAAAAGCCTTGAGTCAGTAAAAAAGAAAACCTTGGCATATTTAAAGGACAGAAAGAAAGCCAATTTGGCTGAAGTGCAGTGAATCAGGGAAAAGTTGAGGAAGATGAAGTAAGAAATATAGGCAGGGCCACATCACCAAAACCCTTGAAGGTCATGGGAAGCCATGAGGATTGGTAAACGGAAGAGACCCATGATCTGATTCTCACTTTAGGAAGATCTCTCTGGTTGTTGCGTGGATACTGGAGAGACGTAGGGTGGGATGCTCCCAGGAATACCAAGTAGAGGCTGTTGCAGTTGTGCTGAAGAGGGACAGTTGCCTCTTGAGCTCGGGTGGCAGTGGCGGGGGTGGATGAGCTAGTTGGCCTTGGGACACATTTTGAAGACAGGGGTGACAAGATTTGGGTTGGGTTTGGAGTGTGATGAGGGAAAGCGGAATCAAAGACAACTCATAGCTGGGATACTCACAACTGAGAAACACTCTTGGCTTCATTTTTTCCTTTTCACCTGAAAAAAAGAAGAAACAAAGGAAAGATAATAACCAAATCTTTCTTTGTGAAATGCCACACTCTATGGGAAATTTCTTTAAAAGGTATTGAGCACTCCGCAGCTTCCAGAGATTCTGAGGACTAATGACCTAGCTCAAGTTCATAAGAGCTTTTCTGCTTGAGAAAGGCAGCAGATACTGGCACAAACCTGGCTGGTGAGATGAACTCGTGATTCGGAAGGACTCCCTGCTAGGACAAAAGCCTTATTAACTGCTGTATGCAAAGTATATAGTCTCTAAGGGCAGTAGGATTGGGTTCCAAGTCCAGCCTTAAGGCATGTTCCTTAAAGGAGAAGTGATTTTCAGAGAAATAAATCATTTTTCCTTTAGAGAAAGAAATGTTTGGGATTACATTTATAGAGGGGTTTTCTCTTAAATGTTTGTGTTTTATGAAGACTTTAACATTTTCTGAACGTCAGTTGTAGTTACTGCTTCATGAAGACAACTGTAAAAAGCAGCTTATTTCTCAATTTCTTCATTCTATCCATATAGAAAATTTGGTTCTTACAAATAATAAAAAAGTCAAAAGGCAGTTTTCACTGTTGTACTTAAGAATTAAGTACCTATTTTTAATGGCAGCATGTATTTCTAAGAATAGCACATCATGATTTGAAAATGATAAGGCACACAAATATGTGTACTTTCTATGCTTGGGAAACTAATAAAAAAGTTCCATAGCAGTTTATCCCCCAAGGCAAAGACCACCATGGGTCACTGAGACCATATTATGTTACAGTCTCATGACATACTCTGTCAGCTGTTCCCTCGCTCATTCACACACACACAGATCCCAGCTACTTAATATACAGTTAAGCACATTTTCTAAAACAAAATGAAAATTCATTCAAACACTAAACAGATGTGAATAAAAAGGAGAGGGTGGTTTAAAAATATTTCTGTTGCTATCAGCAATCATTTTGTCTCATGAAGGGCATTTGGCTATTAGTGTAGAATGTGAATAAGGCTGGTTTGGTTGCTGTGAATGTTGGCAGAATAGCAAGTGTCCCATTTTCCAACCATGAGATTGTTTATTGAAAGTTCATTATTCTTTGCAAACTATATTTTAAAGGAAGTATCATATTAAAATGAAAAATACTTTACATGGATCAGGTAATGGTTTTGTTCTACAAATTCCCATAGATATAGGCATATAAAAATGTTATAGAAGGTGCTTTTTAAAATATGCTTTTGGGAAATATTTCCTAAATCTGAAAATAATAGTATTGCCGTAAAAAGTTCCTCCTGAACCACTTTCAACCAGACACTTTAAATAATGAGAAGTAATTTTTTCTTTCACAAGGTACTGTTTTATTTAAACACTACCATTAGATTACTTGGGGAGTTAGAAAACATAAATATACTCCAGCAAATTGATTGCATATGCCATTTATTTGATAATTCAGAGTAATATAAGATTTGATTGGTGGAAATAAACTTTACAAGTACACAATCTTTCTGAATATGGACATAGTGTCATAAGAAGACCTTCTGAATTAAATGTCGACCAAGTCAAGGCAAAGACAAATATGGTGAGAAAAGGAGCAGAGGGAAGTAGCTACTACACTTGAAATTTGAAAAATGATCCCACTAGAAGACTGGAATAGAAGAGCCTGATATCGCATATTAACTGAGTGACGCAGGGAATGTATGTATCTAACTTACATGAAAAATAATATTGTGTCACCAAACTGCATTAGTCAGAGTTCTCCAGAGACACAAAACCAATAGCATGTGTGTATGTAGAATATTTATTTTAAGAACTTGGTTCAATGGGATTGTGGAGGCTGGCAAGTCCAAAGTTTGCAGAATAGGCTGGCAGGTGGAAGACGTAATGGAGAGTGATGCTGCAGTTCGAACTGAAGGCTGTTTGCTGGAAGGATTTCCTTTTCCTTGGGAGTTCTCATTCCTGCTGCATATTAGAATCATCTGAGAGTCTTTAAACATCTTAATGCTCAGGCACATCTCATCCCAATTAAATCAGAACCTCTGGGAGTGGACCCAAGCATTTTTTTAAACTTCTGATGTGCAACCAAAGAAGTCTCTCGATATTATGACAATTCAGAACCATATTTTTTTTTCCTCTTTGAAGATAGATGTGTCCTATGAAATTTCACTATTAGATCCTTACACCAGTCATGGTATAGTCTAAAATGGCTATGGTCTTCACAGCTTTGAACCTTCAATGAGGATTCATGGGTCATGACCCAACATTTTGTGAGATTTGCCTTATGGATACTGCTTGAGTTATGTGTTTTGTTGTTGCTAATGACAACAGCACCAACTGTTTCAAATTTTGTCCAAATATAATATTACAAAAAGATTATTTTGGAAACCCTCCAAATACATACCTACAGGAGCTAATTAAGAATGACCAATTCCTAGATAACACTGAAAAAAATGCAGTAAAAAACCCCCACCTCATTTACTTAAATGTCTGGATGATATTTATGGCATTATTTATAAACATAATCTCTTAATTGTCATTGAACTTTCATAATTTCTTGGATGTCAGGTTTTAAATTTCCTGTCACTGATTTATATCTTTGTTTTATGTATAAAACAATAAAAACCAAGGAGGGGATGATTGAAATATTTTAAAAGGCAAACTATTCCTGGTTCATAAGGTATTTCATGGGAGCCTTGTTACTACTCTTGGGTATTATGATTCAGTTTCAGGACAAAATGAAGGCTAGAATCTTATGCAGGATTTCCAACTTAACAGCTATAGAGTTGTATCATCCCTCAGTGTGTACATTGGTGTCATGATAGGCACTGACATGTAAAGTCTCATCTGCAGTGTACTGAGGTGCTTTATATAGGACCTGTCATTTGAGAAACTGATCTTGTAACTAATCACCACACGTTTAAAGGACTTGAAGGTGGGCCAGACATATGCTGTGGTGGATTATGCAACTACTGATGGAGTATAAATTAAGTGAGGCTAGAAAGCTATCGTCTTCATTTACTGATTCATTAAAATTATATCTATTGAGTACCTATGCACACCATATTTTACATCCTTTTTTATAATGCTGCAAAAATGATCTACCTTGCAATATTACTACTCCTTCTTTAGAAGAAGGCATTGGATCTCCTTGGCTTCAGCTAAGAGGAAATTGACATGGGCTAATGGAAAATCTTTGTACCTATTTGCATGTTGACATGAATTTATTTCACAGATTGATTAGCTGCTATGCATGAAGACAGAGTTCAGGAATCTGTGAGGAAAAAGCACAGGGTTCCTCCACAACTCTGTATTACATATTTATAGATTCTTCCCTTTTATGAAAAATCTTCACCTCTTCTAACATGCTCCTCAATCATATAATAATTTTTTGCTCCTATTTGCTGTCAACCTTATAAAAGAAGTGTTTTACTGTGGTGTTTTCATTTTCTCATTAACAATTCACTTTCAAAATTAATTTATTGATTTTGTGAAAATTGCATATGACTATCATAAAAAGAAGTATAAACAATATAGTAAAAACAAAATCAAAAGCAAAAAACCCTCACTCCCAACCTTCCATCTCCCTAGAATTACCATCATAAAATTTGAGGATGTCACTGTGGAACTCTACCCATACATAACACAATAGAAAGATAACTTTTAAAATGTTAGAAAAATTGAATCATACTATTTATGCTCTTTTGAAGTTAAACATATTCAATTTATTTAATTTTCTTATCAATTTTATTGAATTATTTTATGTACAATAAATACATTCATTAGGAGCATAGCTTGATGAGTTTTGACAGTTGTATACATTCACAAAACCACCATCACCAAAAAGACAGAAATTTATTACCTCCAAAAGACTCCTCATGCCCTTTGCATTTCATCCCTCCTTCTGCCCCAGGTAACCACTGAGTTGTTTTTTTGTCCCTACAGATTTGTTTGCATTTTATATAAATTGACCATTTTAACCATTGTGCCAGGGAAGTCTCAGTAGCTCCATAAGGCATTTTACGTAAAACAAAACACACCAAAATAAATACCAAAAACACAGGTCATAGAGTATATACTGTTCTGTGTCACTCATGGGGATATTTTCTGAAGGAAATGATGAATAAATATCAATCAGATCAATGTGATAGTGTATTTTTTTTTAGATCTTTCATGTCTTTGCTGATTTTTTCAGACTAGTTTTCCAATAAATTGTTCAGACAGAGGTGTAAAATTCTTCTTTTATAACGGTGGAATTATTTATTCTTCTAATTTTATACATTTTTGCTTCATGTGTTTTGAGGCTCTATTATTAGGTGGAGGACTGAAGGATTTTCACTGGTCTCAGTTTTTAAGCCAATGTCTCAGAAAGGGGTTTCTATTCCATGTGGATTGTTTTAATTCAGATGACACATGTATGTGTCATGGGCCTGCTTTTAATAATTTTCACAGATAAATGTTTTCTACCCATGGCTCTGGGAAGTTGGCAAGCTGGTTAGACACTTCCCAGGACCTGGTGGGTGCAGGTTTCTCATATCAGTTTTACCCATGGGGAATCCCATCCGGATTCTAGGCTGTACACTATGGTCCAGTTTCAGCTTTCAGTGACTTTCCTAGGGCAACTTTTAATGTTCATCCAAATTATTTTGTGAAGCTTTCAGATTCACCTCCCTATTACTACTCTGATCTATGGTTGGGCTCAGCTATGGATTTCATTTTGTGGTTATGGTCTATTTCTTAAGGGTTAAAATGGGAGGGGCTAGTTCATTCAGCATCTCACTCTGCCATATTAACTAGAAGTCGCCTTTCTATTCTTCTCCCACTTGCAGTCAATGAATAGTGCTTGAATTTTATTTCTCCCTTTATGGCCTTTCTTATATCTGACATTTCTTTTTGCTCCCATCACTATTCTCTCATCCATAGTCCAGGCTCTTGTCACACCACACTGGATTAGAGCATTGGGTTTCTAATTCCTCTCTCTATTGCCATTGTGTCTCTACCCTGACCATTCTTAGATAAAACTGTTATAATATTTGTCATTAAAAATGCCTTTGTCACCCAGCCGGTGTGGCTCAGTGGTTGAGCATCGACCTATGAACCAGGAGGTCAGGCTTCAATTCCC